AACACCGCCCCTCTCTTGGGACTCTTGAGGCCCACTCTGGGCCTTCTCTAAAATAATCTAGTCCACTTTGGGATGTCCTCTCGAGCCACCGGTCTTTTAGGCCCACCGCACTACTAACCTCTTGTTGGCCGGGCGCACTGTGCTGCTATCCCCTTTTCCTAGGGACCACCGCAGCACTGCCCTTCTCTGGGGCGCTGTGCTGCTAACCCCTTTGGTCTGGGTCCACCGCAGCACCCTGCCCCTGCCCTGGGTTTTTCCATAGTGCTAGTCTGTTACCAGGCTCACTACGCCCATCCTGGGCTTCTCAATCTGGCCACTCTCGGGCCTCTCAAACATTGACCCTCTTGGGCCTCGCAATGGTCCCCCTTCTCTGGGACTTTCCGGGCCCCGCTGGGCTCCTTAATAATACCGCCCCCTGTTTGGGGCTCTCTATGCCCAGCCTGGGCTTCCTAATAAAATCGCCCCTCTCTTGGGACTTGCTGTGCCCACATTGGGGCTCTTTAAATGCCCCTCTCTGGGCTGGGGTCTACACACCCCGCAAGTTGCGCCCCTCACTGGCGCTAGGGCCCCCACACCACTGTGGGTCCCTTTGAGGCCTCCTCCAACCCCTATAGCCTCACCCAAACCACCGGTGTAATACAGTAGAACACAAACATAAACTCAAGCCCCCTGGCTATAACCAAAACCCAAGGCACTGGGCCCTAACAACATAAGCCTCCTGGCTGTAATTTAACATCATTGCTCCAGCCTCTGGAGCTCTCACGAGCTATACCTGCTGTTAAGCTTTTTCTCCCATCTTAACTGCAGGAGCTCCAGCTCCTCTGGCTGCTGGCAGGGAACTGCTAGCCTGGCCTTGACTCTAGGCTTTATAGGAGCCAGGCCCTGCCCCCTACAGGCAGCTGACTCTTATTAGTTGCCCTGGCAACCCACAGCTGTACTCATTATCACTGATAGGGCTTCTCCCCAGCAGTTTTCCCCTCTCTAGGAGTGGGGGCAGCAGGATGCGCTGCAACACACTGCTATTGCAAAAGAGCCAATGGCATACTAGCATGTATTAACAGGAGCGTTGTGTACAAGTCATAGAAAGAAACTCTTACAGTTCATTCAGCACTTGTGATACCTCACCTGAAGTTCTATGTCCAGTTCAAGGAAACCACACAAAATGGAAGAAGTCCAGCAGAGAAGAAACAAATAACTAGAGGTCCAAGATTCATCAGAAAAGGTTTGAAGGACTGGATTTTTTAGTCTGGAGAACATAAGAGTGTAATAGACTATTCTCTCTGTCCTCAGGGGACAGACGTGGGTTTAATTTGCCACAAGGGAAATTTAGGCTTGATATTAGGAAGACTTTAACTATGAAGGTGGTTAAGCACTAGAATAGATTACTTAGACAAGCTGCAAAATCTCCATCCTTGGAGGTTTTTAAGAGCAGGTTAGACAAGCACTTGGCTGGAATGATTTAGGGAGGGATAATCCTGGCCCGAGCGGAGAACTGGGTATGATCAGGTATCTTTCTACAGGACTTCCGTCTGATACAGTGTTCAGGTTAAAGGGTATTATGGGGCGTGAATCAGAGCTATGTAGTAGGATCCTTTCAGAAGATGAAAAGTATTTAGTTAATAAGACAGCAGATTGTAGGACAAAAAAGAAGGGCCTTGTGGGTAAGTCAGGTAAGTCCTGAAATTTGTCCCATCTTTTTCTCTGCCACAGAGATCCTATGGATTGCTAATCAATAGGGGTGTGCGAAATGGGCTGTAGTCAGTTCAGATTCAGTCTGAATTGGGGGCAGTGATTTGATTCATTGATTTGGGTCACTGTCCCCAATTCAATTCAGCTGAATCTGAAACTTAAAATTCGATGCTGATTCGGAGAACCAGTGATTCAGCCACAGACACCGCTTTAAATGTTTTATCTGTCACAACCCAAGGGTGTGATTTTGTTTGTGCGCGCTTCGGCACTGCTAAATTATTTCCCGCCACTAGGAGCTTATTCCCACGTGGCGGCTAGCGATTGGCTTGCTAGCTGTATAAGAGGCTTGAGCGGTTTCCGCCCAAGTTGGAGAACTCTGAGGAGAACCTTCACAAGGGAGGACTCCACAACCATCTGGAGGAGGAGAACTTCACGTCTCGTGAAGATCTCTAAGCGTTGCGGAGCCTATCGAACCCAGCGCAGGCTACAGGGGTCTGATCAACCTCTGGCCTCTCCCCATCGCCGAACGATCCCTCGACGAACCCCTTCCCTGCGCGCAAGTTCCACGGAGCCTAGCAAACTTTGTGAGAGTGTATCCAGAGCTCTCTGCTTCGAGTTGTTTTCTTCGGTTGACACGACGGGCTCGCGTGTTTAGAGCCTTCAACCAGATTGAGCTAGAGGGTCGCGTGGAAGGAACTCTTGTCCGCCTCTCTTCTTTTCTATCTGTAACCGCAACCCAAGCAAGTTTTCCTGCTTGCACCGCGACCATCTTCGGTGTAAGTAAAATAATCTTTAATCAACCGCTAAGTGTCCATGCCTAATTCTAGCCCGCCGGCCTGCATTCCCTGACCCGGCGTGTCCGGGCTGCTAGCCACAGCCCACAGCGCGCCCCCAAGGGCCTCGGACCGCTCCCGGCCCGCACATTATCTACATACATTGAGGTACCAGGCACAGCTCATGAATGCTGCAATGGTGGGGCAGATGGAGCATCCTACAAGAGCACAGGGGGGCCCCCTGCATGCTCAGCCGTGAAACTGGAAGTGGACCCACTGCCAAGTGCACTGGAGGTCCCCTCCCCGGCTCGGTAATCAGTCATGGGGGGACCCTGGGTGCCTTTCCAGACCCAGGAGGCACCTGCCACCAAGCCAGGAGGGAGGAGGGGGGGCCCCCTGCGTGCTCCCTGGCAGACCCAGAAGTGGACCGGAATGCTTCTGGTCCACTTCCGGGTCTGCTGCTGAGAGCGCTGGGGCCTGTGGGACGCTCATCTGCCCCAGAATCTCAGCATTCATGAGCCGCCTGGTACCTTGAAGTATGTAGAAAAAACATTTAAAGCTGTGTCTACGTCCAAATCATCTAATCTTTCCGAACTGATTCAGAGGGTTCCAATTCAATTCAGAGAGATTAAAGGGTCTCCTGATTCAATATGGATTCTGAGATTCGGCCATCGATTGGGCCGAATCTTTGCCAAATCAAATCAGGGAGGGAAGCTTCACACTAATCAAGTATTTAGACCCAGCTTTTCACAAGTTGCCACTAACTTTGTGTTCATCCCTTTCTGGATTCCTAACTTGAAATGGCTATGGTCTCTAACTTGTAAAAAATACTGAGCACTCACACAGCAATTAAAGCAATGGGAGCTGTGCTATAAACATGGGGGCTGGGAGAAGAGAAGCTATAAAGCACTAAATGCCATGAAAAATCAGATCCTAAGTATCTCAACATGGGTACCCCAAAGTAGTGGACTTATTAACCATAGCCTTCTTTGCTTTGATTCCCCATGTATACAATGGAGTACTAGCACCATCTTAGAAGGTGGTGTGAAAAGAAAATAATGCTTGTGAAACACTGAGATACTATAGTAGTAAGCACCATAGAAGAGTCCATAGAAAACTTAAAATTCCTTATTCAGAGTGAGATTTGAAGAGTGATCATGTGGCTAGGTATTGAACATTAAGGATAAAGCGGAATACTGAAAAACTATTCTGTCTTTGAATACTTTGTGGCCTATACACTGAATGAAGCAGGAGTCTTAGAAAAGATAATGTTGGTCTTGTAATTAAAAATGGTATCATAATTCATAAACCAAATTGAGGTGTCTTGGATAACTTTAATTCTGCCATTCCTAATTCCTGAGTTCTTGATGTACAAATGTTACTTTACAACAAGTTTTCTGGTGTGCAATCATGTATACAATTAATTAGGCAAGGAAATTATAAATGGAGAAAAAAGAACTAAACTTGAGAGTCCTGAGAGCCTCATTGCTTTTAGGGTCTTGGCTTCACATCAGGCTTACAAATAAAGCTGATGTCTTTGTTTTAGGGATAGCAGGACATTTCAAATGTATATATGTTGTATATGGCTCTGCCCCCTAGTGGGAGATACTTAACATTTAATCAGCTGTTGTTAAGACAGAGGGCAGTATAGGCTGCCTTATGGACCTATTTTCTGCTTTCAAATTCTAGGAATCCTGAGGGATTTTTTGCACAGCAGCAGAAAGGGAAACTGTGTCTTCTTGCAGGTATCCATTACTACAGTGGGGATCAAAAAGAAGCCTCCATTTCCTCAAAACAGATGTTCATGAGGATGGTCTGGAAGGAGAGAACAGAAACAGCCAGTACTTCTGAAAGGCAAAAGTGCTAAGGGATAGTGTTGGGGAATCTCAGAGCAGCCAGCAAGTGAAATGTAGTGAAACCTATGGGAGGCCCGCTAACATAACAAGAATTGGAAAGTACAACTGAGCAATATGCAATCCAAGTAGCCAAGCAAACTACAGCATGTAAGGAATTCATTCCAAACACATTGCCCATAGCCATAAAACAAGGCGGATGCCGCTGGAATGTGAGAAGTATACTACAATTCAGTCCCATGGAAGGGAGTAACTATCTACTTAGTTATGGAAGTTAAGAACGAGTCTATATATTTTACTATGTTACCAGGTGCCAGCAGGTTGATTTGATAAGGATACAGGAGGTTTGGGGGTGTGATTTGTTTGTTTGGTTTTTGTATCTGTGTGTGTCACAGGACAGCAAAATACTCTATTTATACCTTTCTAAGGAAATAAAAGGATTTCCCAAATAGTACTAAAAACAAATAATAAGCTCCAAGTATTTAAGCACTAACCTTATACCTTCAGGATCTGCATTTAATTTCAACAGTTTCATTTGTTCACTTTTTTCAAGTGTAGGTTCCTTTTGTTTTTCATATCCATCTGTAGCATATGGTGCACTATTTGATATCTAAAAAGAGTACAACATAATATGATACTAGCACATTTTGTAGAAAGGCATCATAAATAAAAAAAACCTATTTCTGTACTGAGGAAGGGAATGGGGTGGGAGGTTTGTTTTTTTTTTAATTGAGTCCAGTGATCAGAGCAGTTGTTTCTGCAAATCATTTTTTTTCCTTTAATGGTTAAACTTTTCTTATTCAATGACTGGTGGTTATTTCCCACAATATAAATAGCAAACATTTTATATTCAAACAGTCAAACGTGATAATGAAAGGCACTATGAAAAACCTTGGCAAACACTGTGATAATACTTCCCGTTTATTTACCTCCTTTTAATTTAGTATAGAAATTATTCTGTTACTATACAAGGAGAATTAGGTGCAGTGCATTCTTCAGTGCATCAAGAATCAAAACTGGAGAAAGGAAAGTATGATTTGAGTAGCAGTTTCTGTGGATCATTTTGGCAATTCTAAACAAATTAAATTATCATATAACAGGAGATTTTCAAAGGCAAAAAGAGTAGTTTGGATCAGAGTACTTTGTAAATCAGTGGGAGCAGAGTGCTTAATTGAGTGTAAAATATACAATCTTCCAGAAAGAAAAGTTGTTTTAATCTCTTCAAATATGGTAAAATATTATTGGTCTGTATTAAAACATCAAGATTAATTTTAAAACAAATCTTGGCTACAGACCAAAACAGTAAAACAATTAATGAACTGAAAAATACAAATAGTTGTCAAAACTTAATATATTAACAAAGAGAGAAACTTTTAAGATGATAATTAATCATGCTTAGGTCGATGGCAAAACTCCTATTTTATTCAATAGGGCCAGGTTTTAATGCTATGCTTTCATCATCACTAGCCCCACACACACGCGCACGCACGCCCGCATGCACACACGTGTGTTTATTCTTTTAAATTGTGTGTGTAAACTGAACATTTATGAAGGTGACAGTCTGGCTGAATGGGAGGATGATATCCTTTCTTTATCCATGTAACTGGTACAGAATAAGTGGCAATATTACAAGGTGCCTCACATAATGTAGTCAATACTCTTGACGAGAAGAATTCACATTTTCCTAATTAATGAATTAGGAAATATAGGAAATCCTTCTTTCCTCTGTATTCTGGGTAAAATCATCGCTTAACTGAAGTAAATGGCAAAACTCCCATTGGCTTCAGCGGGACCAGGGTTTAACCCTGAAGTGTGTAACCAATGCACTTGGTATAGTCATTTTTTGTATATAAAAAAATATAGCCCATGTCTGGAAACTGGTACAGTACAGTGGTGCTCAACTTTTTTGGCCAGCAGGCTGGTTGGGCAGTACCTGGACTAGTTGTGTAAGGAGTGACCTAGAAACCTCTACTCGAAGACGAAGCAGAAGAGAATGCTATGTGAAAAATGCCCATCTGCAATGATAAGGAGGAGACAGTCCTAGATAAAGGGGGCTTGAAAACAAAAGAAGAAGCAGAGTACTGGGTTAAAGGGCTCATTAAAATACTAAAAATCATGCCCCTAGGTGGGGAAGAAGTATGCTAATGAAACACACATGTATGTAAATGAGATACATAGCTAAAACACAGGTATAGAGACATGCTCAGTAAAGAACTTCTTGCGTCACTCACTTATAACCAATCAGCAAACAAGCCCGCTTGTGAAAACTTGAAAACTCCTGTATAAAAGATGCTTAGAAATAGTGATCTGGTGTGCTTGTTACGTGAATTATTCCGCTTGCACCTTTTATTGCTAGCAATAAACCTTCTTTGTACTTTCACCCCTGGTATCATTATTGGTCTTTGCATACCGGGCACAGACTTGAGCTGGGGCACAACAGTTGCAGGAGGGAAAGGGGGGGGGAGGTGGTAGCCTGGCCCCAACCCAGCTGTAGGGGGAGAGGACCTGGTGCACTCCTAACTGCAGTGCAGGGCTTGGAGCATGGGACTTTGGCAATGGGAGAGGGTGGGCATACTAATCAGTGCCACTCCCCCACTGCCAAATTTTGAAACCAGTTCAGAGCTCTGTGGGGTGGATGTCATGGCTCCATGGGCTACACTTGACACCTGGGTCAGAGTTTCAGCACCCTAGATATTCTATAACATCAGTTCTGAACGCGCCATAATGCCAGTGTTTATACCTCATTTCAAATCCCCTCCAATGAAATACATACATTATTTCTGGAGTTTGCAAATGGCTCAGTGTTTATTGGCTGCCCAGAGGCCTAATAAAGTGAAAATTCTGCCTACTTCAGAAGGCCAAAAGAGGAAAAAAGAAAGAAACTCTGTCCTAATAAGATGTAAAGCTGTGTAGAGACAGAATAACTTGTATTAATTATCTGACAGTCTGCTTTACACTGCAGCTCTTTATCCCAAACATTGGTTTCTCAGCTCTTGCCTGTTAGGGTCACGAAGCTTCTGGGACTTCCTGCAGACGCATGACTGGAGTAGCGGCATGATACTAAGGAGCGAACTTGTTTGCTTTTTAAAAAGCAATCAGAAGAGATGTGTAGAACACTGTTTCCTCTACCAGAGTCCGGCTATCCCTAATGGCACTGGCTTCCTGAGTCAGCCTCCACATTTTCTTTACCTCAATTGATTGTATTGCTCACTGAATGAGAAAAAGAATTTGTCCTTGTTTTGGGACATTACAAAAATGCACAGAACATGGTCAGTAATTCCTCCAAACTTATTCGCATGACCCTGACTGGCATATGGGGAAGAGGCCAGGGTCAGGTAGTTGCATAATGTGAAATAGAGCATATCAAATCCACTTTCAAGTGACAGGTAACCCCTAAGAATAAAGTTTCAGAGGCTCCATAGCCTATACAACATATAGAAAGCTATGGGGCAGTATTTAGAATGCTAACTAGTACTAGCTAAGCCTTTATATTCATATCTATATACTATGACTTAAAAGTAAAGAACCTTCAAATATGGCATAGGTTTGTGGTTTGTTTTTTTTTAAGTCCTTGTTTCTTTTAAAGAAAATAGATTAAAAAAAATAAATCTTCTACAACATGTAAATAATGACTTTAAAGAAAAAAAATCAATGACATTCAGTATAAAAGTCTGAGATAAAAGGAGATTTATTGCAAACATATTTAGCTGATGAAGGCCTCTCAAATCTTCTAGGCTGTTTCTTTATTTTCATAAAATTCTGTGGGGTAATAAAATTGTTCTGAGCTCACTGTAATAGACGTAGAAAAAATGGCTCGTATTTTAAAAATGTTAAATTTTCATTGAGAAATGTAATTGTTTGTGTGCATTAAATCACTGGCATTCTGAAAAGGACCAAATGTTTTAATAACAGAAAAATTAAGGGACAAATGTTAGACAATATTTTTGTTGCAAAACTGAAAGAGTGATAGTAAACATTTTAAAAGTACAATATAAACACATCTGCTTTTGTATCATACACTTAGGTTCTTCCTTGGCTAGATTACAAATACAAATTTAGTTAATTAATTAGGCATCCTTTAATATTACCTTTCCTAGAAAAGGTTTGCTGGAGTTGCATAATGATTTTGCTTGTCAATTCTGCTAAGTTAATTATGGCTAAAATAATGGTGCTGGATTTGACATTGATATAGATAAAACACACATTTTTAATTAATTGTTGGATTCTATACCTTGCGTTTCTACATTTTTGTTGGATTTAGTTGTCATAGCACTTATACAAACATTAAAAACTGGAATTATCACAGTTAATACTTGCACTGTATCCCTACCTTCACTTGCTTAAAGAGAACCACATTCAATGGACTATGTGACCTCATGAGGTCCATTCCAGCCCTACTTTACTAATGATCAATCTGGACAAAAAACATTTCAGAAAGGTGTCTCATTTCTTGGGAAGAAAGAGAAGGAGGAAGACCAGAATAGCCAAAAGTTATGTGAGATGTAGAAAACATTCATTCTGAGCTTGGATTTGAAACCTGTGCTTAATTATCAAACTTTATACAACTTTTATCTCCTCCTCTCATGTGTTACATTGGACCAATGGATATTTAATTATTTATACCAGATTTAATAATTCAAACAGAAATGACTAAAAGAAAGTAACCTAGTAGACTGACTGTAGACCAACTTGCTTGAGATATGCGAGATCCAGGTTCATGACTCCACTCCAAATCTGGGTCTCCTGAACCCCCATCAAAGCCCTAAAATGGCTATTGATAGCCAACTGAGCTATAGTTGCATACACATACACTAATTTTTCACCTTCCACCCAGTACATTCAGAAATCTTATTGTTCCAAGTCAGATTTTGAAACCCTTTTTTTTGGCGGGTGGGGCAGTAGAAGTGGGAATCTTTGTTTTCCAGCCAACCCCACCAAAAGCTTTGCTGGTTCAGTAGTCATACAGCTTAACTTTTCAACAGAGCTCAGGGTTTAAAGACACTCAGAAATTCATCATATGGGTCAGAAAGCTGACAAGTATTTTGTTCTAATCAACTCACTTGGTTAATGTGGCTAAATTTTTGTTCATAAACTATCTGTTAATAACAGAGGTGTAACTAGCAAGTTTTATGGAGAGGAGGGGAAATTGCTGACCACTAGCTTGTTGGGGGTCTGTTTTACCTGCTCCTTAGATTCAAGGATCCCAGCTGCTGCTGTCACGGTATAGGACTGTTGCTGCAGTGAGGGCTCCCTGGGTCTTGCCATCTTAACACCCTGTCTAAATCAGTGTCTAGGAAAGTGCCCAGCTCACCCACCCCTAGGAACACTACTATAGAGTAACTTGGTATTTAAGTCATATTGTTAATTATTTGAAAGTTCGTCAGTGCTTTTCAAGTTGTGATTGAGTCCCTCACCATTCTTAATAGGTTAGGTAAGAAAGGCCTGTTTTGTCCTTTCAAAGAGCAATGCTTATAAGTCTTGGAAAGATCTTTCCAAAGTAAGCATTACTAAAATCTAATTGATTTAGGGCAAAGGCTTTACATTAATGAAAAGGTATATAGGTATGCTGTACAACAAACTGAATTCCAGAAAAACACGTTTACATGTGTG